TAATTAAAGCCCTCCCCCAATAATTTCCCACACCTCCATCCTCCTTTCGGAGAATAAGAACCGGGGGTCATCATGACTTAGTTGCATTAATTCCTGGCCCAATCACATCGTTTGGTCCCACGATTAACAAGAATAATCGTGTCATGGTATAGTGGAGTTTTATGTTGCATCGCGTAACGTGCCAAAAACCCTGTGGATGTTTTGATAGGGTGTGTTTTGTCTGTCATTCTAGCATGGGTTCTCTTCTGTTTTTGGTGGAGGAAGATGAAAGCCTCTCTTTCATACGAATGGAATAAATATGTGGTTTCGATCTTACCACTAATGGCTTCACTAAAGTGCTTTGATATGTTTGTTTCAATATGCTGTGATTACATTGGACGCCTGGTGAGTGATGTGTGACTATGCTATAATCATTAAGAACTTAACATGTTTGGCACATTAATTGTTTAGGAATTAAAGGTGTGTTTGTTTCACTGAAAACTTCTTGACAAAAGAAAATATTTTCCATGGAAATTATTTTTAGGGAAAATGGTTAGTTTTCCTTGTTTGGTGGTTTAGTAAAAGTAATTTCCTTCTTAGCAGAAGGTAAAGCCATTCTCCCTCAATCTAAACTTGTTATTTTCAATCCATGGAAACATATTCCGTAGATTGATTAATTTTTCACTATTCAAATATTGGAAAGTCGAAAAGCAATTTCTCCAAAACAATTTCCTTCAAACAAACGGAGTCTAAATATTACTTCAATGGTGAAAATGAGTTTTCTAGACGTTTTGTGTGGTCTTTATAAATTAATAGTCATACGTATGGAATGGAGTTATTCTATAGTTATATGTGTTTGGAAAAATCTTAATGCTGCAACTTTCGAACAATCTTGTATGAGAAAACAGTCTCATTCAGTTGTAAGGAGTTACAATTTTTAAAATGTGTATTGCCAAACACTCTCATCATAGCATTTGGCAATATAATTACAGGGAGAAATTATAAATAATTGCCTTAAGTGGTGGAGTTTTCTCAAAAAAGGGCTCACAGCGAAGTTTGTTTCAAATAAAAGTCCGAAGTAGTCAACCTAACTTCAGATAAGGGCCCGAACTCACTTCTTGGACAAATCTTCACTAGCTGGCGAGCACTAGGGGTGTGCAAAAGAACTAGAAACCGTTTGGACTACCCGAAACCAGACCAAACCAGCCTAGAACCGGCGGTTCTCATAAGGATCGGTCCAGTTCTCGATTCCAATTTACTAAAATCGGTGAATACCGATCTAGCTCTCGGTTCCAACGTGAAACCGCCCATCCATACCAAACCGGTGTGTGTTTGTGTGTGTGTGTGTATATATATATATATATATATATGTTAAAAAAAATTCCAACATCAACTATAACTTCCTAGAAGATTCAACAAGAACTTGTGTCAATTGAAATATAGACGCATTCTCTAGTATATCCTTCAAGATTTATGGACTGATAAAACTAGAAGAGCATCAAATGTTAATTGAACTATACAAGTACTAATCATTTAAACAATTAACTCACCGCTCATGTGTCTATCGAGCAAGTAGAGTTTCATTTCTTAATCCGTCTAGACTTCGTTTGAAGGACAAAGGAAATCATTTTGTGAGCATATGTTGTTTAGGCCTGTGTGATATTTGCGATTGATTTGATCTGCATATACCAATTGAAAGGCATTATGGCATTAAGATTTACAAGGTATAGCCATCAATAGGTAAGGTTATTTTTCCTTGATCAATCAATGACCAAACAAACCGGTTTACACCAATCTTAGCTACAAACCGATAAATATATATACCTTTTCCCTTGCAAACAAGTAGCCACGTAGAAACTAGGTTCACCATGGTATTGATTGATAAAAGCAATTTTAAAGGGATTGAGGACCGGTTCCACGGACCCACCCAATAATCAGATCGGACCAACAGTCTGGTTTCCGGGTGAATTCATGGAACCAACAGGCGATTCTCGGTTCCAATTTTTAAAAACCAGTTCTTAGCGGGCGGTTCTTAGTTCCAAGGTGAGAACTGCCCGCCCAAACCATGCTCACTAGCAGATGCTTCTCCCATGCCATTTTCCAAGGCATGATTGGAGACATTTTCATCCGGAAGCATTTTGTTTTTTAGTTTTCTTTCTTTTCATTTCTTCTTCTCTCTTCATCATCTTCTTCCTTCTTTGTTCTTCTTTCCTGGTGATGTCTTCATCAGTCGCACGAGCTTGATGGCAATTATCGTCGGCTTGGGCTTGGACGGTGGCCAGTAGCAAGCGGTTAGAGGATGTGACGACACTTGCAACACAAAACCAAACCCTATGGCTTGATTTCAGCGGTGATTCATGGGATTCGCAGTCGTCCAGGTTCGAATTTAATAGGTTTGGTCCCAGGCATTGTCAAGGTGAAGTCTTGCTTTTCGTCAAGAATGGTCACCATCATGCGTTTGCCGATCCTTGCTGGGTTGTCTTTGAACCAGATCGAGAGAAGACAACTATCAGGAGATTGTCGTGTAGAGAGTGGAGAAAAAGGAATTGAACAAAGAGAGCTCTCTCGGCAGAGGAGAGATGCTGGTGATGGGTGAGCAAGATTGGGGGTGGGCAAGAAGAGTGGGAAACAGAGAAAAGAGGAAAAGAAAGAAGAAAAATATGAGGAAGAGCTGAGGATTGGGGGGCATCGTGAGGTGGCTAAGGGAGGAAGAGCAGAGGGGTACACATTTAAGAATCACTCTATTGGCTGAATCCCTAGTGATCTCGGTGTCCATTCCCTGGAAAGCACGACCAGACTTGAAACTCTCCAACATCATTCCGTGGCACGGAATGAAGGAGAAGAAGATGATGAACACGGAAAGAAGAAAGAAAATGAATATCTTTGGGTGAAAATGCCGTCCAACCGTAGAAAATTTGATTGGCCAATGAATTCGGCCTTTTATTTGAGACAATGTCCACTCTGAACTTTTTTTTTTTGGCAAAATACCACCAAAAACTCCAAACTATGCCACTTATGACAAATTTATCTTGAACTTTTTTTTGTAAAACAAAAAATCCCAAACTATGCCACCTGTGACAAATTTACCCTGAACTTTTTTTTGTAACAAGAAAAATTCCAAACTATGTCATTTATGACACATTTACCCCCACAATACTTTTGCCCATAGACATTTTCTTCTTTTTTCTTTTTCTATTTTTTTTCTTTTTTTCTCTCTCTTCCCTCCGCCGGCCATGGCGGAGGGAAGCCGGCGAGGGCTGCCTTCGCCCTCGCCCGATGTCGGCAAGGGTCGCCCTCGCTGGCTTCCCTCCGCCATGGTCGGCGGAGGGCAAAGAGAGAAGAAAAGAAAAAAAAGGAAAAAAAACAGAAAAAGGAAAAAGACGAAAATGCCCATTGGCAAAAATATTGTGGAATAAATATGTCACAAGTGGCATAGTTTTGGGTTTTTTATATCATAAAAAAAGTTCAGGGTAAATTTGTCACAAGTGACATAATTTGGGATTTTTTGTGGTATTTTTCCTTTTTTTTTAGAAAATGACTCAACTTCGAGCCATTTTTTGAAATTTTCCGTAATCATAACACAGCATAGCTACGATATGGTTACAATTGTGCCGGGCGAAGTCTCGATTGACAGTAGCCTCCATTATTTTGTTATTTTTTTCTTCATTTTATGAGTGGAAATGGCCTTTGCAAAAAGATATTTCAAGCATCCCTGAACCCCACCACCCAATTAACAAGAAGAAATCATCAAACTTTTGCCAATATAAAGAGGGTGAAGGGTAGAACCAATGACGGACGCTTGTCACTTACATTTCAAACATCGTGTTCATTGATATTTGCTATCTCTAAAGTGGATGCATTTTAATGTTGGCCTATCACAGGCAGACCACGTGAAACATCATATGTAGCTTTGCCATGAGCCCAAGGATTTTTTTCAACGTGTTAATAGTTACATGATTCCACTTTACATGATTCCTTGGCCTTGTCCTTAAATCGTCAAAGTTCCCTCTCAATTCTCATTATGCAAGCATTTGATTTTTTCTAACTTTTTTTGGGTCAGATCAAAAATATTTGATCCTTCATGCTTTTCATCGAAGTTCTTCCTTCCAAAATATATGCTCCCGCATTTAATTAATTTGCATACTCCTTAGTGAGCTGATCACATATTGCCTAGCTCAATATTCGTGTAAACTAAGCCGATCACACTACTATAAACATTGCAGAATTTAAATGTTCTTTTTTCTTTTTTGTTTTGCTGAAGAAGAAATAATTGAATTTGATACTTGCTCTTCTCCTACTTTTTATAGGATGAAATATGTCAAAGTTAGTAAACCATACCCGACCATCTTTTGCCTTGAGAAGAGTATTGGATCGTGTCTCAATTACACTGGCCAAAAACTATCAATTTTTTTGCCTAAGATGATCAAGAGTTTCTCTAGAGAATTACTTGAATCTTGACTTTCTTAGTTTCAATTTTGAGCGATGAGTAATGTAGCAAGATGTATCATCTGAAACAACTACTCTGGAGTCATCCCGGTAATTACCTCTTATTATTTCGGTATTTCCCCCCTTATAATGGGATTTATGAGGGACTATTGTGATCTGGTAATTTAATTAGTTAAACTAGATGAACCAAACGTACGAAAACCACAAAAAAGAGTAGTTATAAATGAAGGGAGTAGGTTTATTGTTAGCCCTTCGTTGGCAAAAGGACGTTACATAGGAAAATCTACTCACAAGTCTACATAGTACAAAGTTAAACATTAGTCAAAGACGAGGAATCAATGCGATGTGATTGCTGAGAAAGAAACGTCAGAAAGTTGTTGGAACAAACTTTAGAAACTCTTGCATCGGATACATGGATGAAAAGAACCAATCAGCTGTTGATAAAATTCCACGCTTCGCAAGAGCGACAAACCAGGAAAGTCCCCGTCGCGTTGATGTACTATTGGCATTGGCATTACCATTTATTCACACGTCTATTTCCTAAACTCACTCCACCCGAACGATGTAGCTTTCCCAGTTCTGGAGTGACTGCGTGAATGACTTAATTCTTGTCATGTATAATTCCACAAGCCTTCTGCATCGGAATACTCCTGTGATTCCTCCGGTGGTGGTGGGCTCACGAGCATCCCCTCCGCCATGTTGGCTAACAGGTTCGGTATGTTCAAAATGGCATCCTCGTCGATGAATTCTTGCCCCCAAGCTGCTGTGCGCTCATTCGAGTCCATGCCGAGATCCCACCTTGGGATCCTCGAAGCCGCTGCTCTCGATGCTGCGGCGCGTATGTCGGATGGTGTCATGGAGGGCGGAATAGGATATGTGAGGACCGAGCTCGGGAAGTTCAGGAGGGCACCGGGGCCTTTCAGGGCAAGGGCTGCAACGTCATAAGCGGCCGCAGCCATCTCCGGGGTTGGGAAAGTGCCAAGCCAAATGCGTGTGGCTTTACGTGGCTCTCGTATCTCGGACACCCATTTCCGGCCGCGAGACCGGATCCCGCGATACTCCGGGTGTCTCCCGGAGACCGGTGGATGATTAGCAGGTGACCCAGAAGTGCCGGGCAGCAAGGAGTGCTGATCCATGGTAGCGGATGCGGGAGAGGCGCACGGGGAATGTTCCGGCGAGGGAAGAGCACACTTGAGAGGGTGAGGTGGTGGAAGAAGAGTATTATAGGGTAGGTGTTTGGTTGGTTTGGACAAGAGTAGAAGGCTGATAGCCCATTTATCTGATACAAACACAAACACATGGACATACATGAAGGTGTTAAATACAAACGATATATAGTATCTCTTTAGGTTATGGTGGTAGGGTTCTATGACGTTATTGTTGGCTGCTAACAACAAGACAACATTAATAAATTCAGAATGGGGTAAACGAGGGGACTCGGAGGAGCCACAAACGTGGCCAAATTAGATGTATATGAAGGGAAATTATGGTAATTTAATTATGTTGGTTTGGTTAATGCGGATGTATTGCTGTTCATGGATTAGCTGCTGAGGCTACAAACGTGCAGACGTACGTACTTGAACCGAGATATAGCAACAAGTCTTTATTTTCTCGTCGTCCTTCTTAGGTTGTTTCCCCGATTTAGTTCGTCCTAATTTACATCAATCTTGATAATCTGAACCAACTTTTACGCACATCAAAGCGGACCATCTATATTGCGTCGACCAGGCGTTTCACGTGTGATTATATTATGTTGTCTTAAATCCTAGTGCCAAGAGATTGCGTCAATCCAGTAGGAATAGGATGTAAGATTTCATGCTTCTATTGATTGAAAGACACAATGATTTACTCATTTCGTTGCTCGGTTCAATCTCTAATGTTTCTTTTATTTACATAATACATATCGGATTATATTATATTATAATAGATACGGTGGGGAATTGCGTTGGGGAGAACCGGGCAACAATTCATCAATTACTAACCCAATCCAAGATAAATTTCTACTAAACCGACCAATATCGACTTAACCTTAGCAACAACCAGCAATATTGCAACAATACAGTCTTGCAATATGTAAATATAATACTGAAATGATAAAGAGACAAAAGCAATAACAACACCAAAATTTTACGTGGAAAACCTAAAATGGGAAAAACCACGGATAGCCCATAAACTTCCACTAATCATAAAGAATAGTAGGATACACAAAGGGTTCTTCTCTAGTCACACATTAGAGGCTCAAGCTGAACAATACAATCGTATTTCATCGTGAATTAACACAAATAGAGGAAGAACACTAACCGAGATTGAAGAAAACGAGAGACGACTTGGAGAAAGTTCTCAATAAATGAAACCGATCAACTCGTAATCCTTGATCTCATGAACAACATACTGAAATTTGAGTCAATTCCAAAAAAGTTTGGCCTTCGAATTGTTGCCAGAAGCTGTTAACCTCATTTTCTGTCTTCTCCACATTCTCTCTTGGTGAACACTATTTCTCCCTCTTTTCTCTCTCCTCTCGAACGACAACCCCACTCTTTTTTCTTCTTTTTGCTTTTTGATTTTCTTTTATTTTTCTTTTTTTTATTATGTGCTAGCTGGGCCCCACAAGAGAGGTAGATCCATCCAACAAATCTCCCCCTCCGCATCATGTGGGAAGTTCCATCATGCCTGCTTTGTTTCTACAGGAGTCAAGTTTCACCATGGGCAGAGTCATTATATCGGATCCATTGTCGTTGGTGTGGACTTTCTTAAGTAGGAAGAACTTCTCTTCTAATTTCTCTCCAATCTAATGATATTTCACATCAATATGCTTCGATCTTGATTACAACACTGGATTTTTGCTAAGATAGATAGCACTCATGTTATCACAATATAGAACAGACTTCTCTTACTTTAAGTCCAACTCTTGTAGGAATTTATGCATCCATAAGAGTTCTTTACCTTCTTTGGTGATAGCGATATACTCTGCTTCAATCTTAGACAAAGCAACAAATTTTTGCAATCTTAATTGCCATGAAATTGCAGACTACGTTTTACCATATGATAGTTGATGTAGCTAGCAAGGATCACCTAGAGGGGGGGTGAATAGGTGATCTTAAACAATTTTTATCAATTTAAGCGGAAATAATTGACCACAGTTGAGTCTGAATAAAATTCAGATTCAAAACAGTTTATATAGACAGTGCTCTTGATGTGCAGTATGTAAAGTAAGAGATAAGGGATAGAAAAACTGCACACAAGTTTATAGTGGTTCGGCTTATAGCAAGCCTATGTCCACTCTCCCACGCTGACAGCCTACTGGCTGGATTTCACTATGTAATCAAGAGGAATTACAGATTCTGAGTGACAGCACTCTTGTGTATGATAGGACTCTCTATCTCACACAATCACTCTTACAAAGTGTCCCTCAAGATCTTAATGTTTAGCTCAAGAAAGACAAGAAACAGGATCGGAGTATGCTCAGACTTTGGACTTGTTGATTCTCGATTTCGTACTTCTTTTGCTTCTTGTAGGTCTCCTTTTATACTCCTCCACTACCAAACTAGCCGTTGGACAGTCTTCAGAGGATCATCTTCCAATCTTCATTTTGGACAGATTTGTATAAAATGGATTGAGTAGCCGTTGGTTGACAAAATCTAAATCCCGCTGATTCTGGTCGCGCATACAATTAGAATCTTGGTTTCCATAAGTAAAGCTTTATCCGTTGTAATCCATACTTGTCATAATGTTTGATTGCCAATCAATTAGATTGAGATTGAGTCAATCAAAACCTTCCTTTTGTGAAATTCATGCCAGATCACTAGCTATTGTGATTCTTTCTGAATAAGTTTTTCTTCTGTGTCTGAAAAACTTCAGCGTCTGAAAAATTTCAGCGTCTGCGTCTGCATAATTACTGCATCTGAAGAATTTCTAATTCAGAACCTGAGTCAACGTAGGTCTTCAGTAAAATCTGAATATTTCATAATTAGAGTCTGAATGACTTTTATGGTAAAGTCTGAATATCTTATACCTAAGTCTGAACTTTTAGTTCTGAAAACTTGTAAAGTCTGATATTTCCTTATGAACTTCCAGAATATATTAACCTGGAATAGAATGCATGTCAGATTCACAAGATATACATCGAGAGTTTTGTTAGCTTCAAAATTCATTATGAGTTTTCCTCAACAATCTCCCCCTTTTTTTATGGTGACAAAACTTCCATGCAGATTCAATCAATGTCAAATAAATTTGAAGAAAATAATCATATTAAGTGCATGAAACACAGATATATAAATGTGCAAACTCGTAAGATCTGTGTGTTTCTCTTGCTTTGAGTATAACCTGTATAATCTGCATATTGAAGTGTTAGTACGACAATATCTGCATAATCTCTTCCTCTTTTTGTCATCAGCAAAAAGAATAAATCAATAATAAGCATAATAATGCACTGATATAAAACATCCAAACAATCTAACAAAGGCAAATGTTAAGAATACAGATCCAGAATGGTTTAAAAAGAGGGTATGAAAAACAGGTTATTTCTTTGATGGGGTTCAAACAAGTTGAAAGTTTTCCATAATAGAAACAGCTTCATCAATCTTGGTAGAACATTGACCCATAGCTTTCTCCATATTTGTTGAACATATAGCAATAGCTTCCCTTATCTCTGCTTTGTCTTTTTCTGCTTGAAGACGTTGAGTCTGATTGTTTTCCTCAACAATTTTCTGAAGGTTCTTCACATCCTCTTCAAGTGCAACTTATTTTTCTTTGATTTCTAGCAGAAGGGTTAGAATGATCATGTTTTCTGAAGTCTGTCCCTGAACATTTTCCGGTGCATGCTGTTCGAACTTATCCCTTGTCTCTGTTGGAATCTCCCCCTGAAAGTCTGCATGTTCTACAGTAGTATTTGCATTTAAAGTTTCTTCAGGATTAATTGGAGATTGACTTACATTTGTCCCCTGTGGAATATCATCCTCTTGATGTAGATGTGAGTCCCCAGATACTGGTTCTGAAACCTTTTGAGTAGGTTCTGAAACATATTCTGGACCAACATTCTGTCCTGTTTTAAGATGTTCCGATTCATCATCTTCGTCTCGGAGAAGAATTTTTCTCTTCTTACTATACACCTTGAATGGGGTTGAAGAGACAGTCTGCTTTCTTTCTTTTCCTGTTCTTTTGCTTTCTCCTTTGTCTTTGTCATTTTTCTTCCCAACAGATTTTGCTTTTGACTGCTAAGCATCCTTTCCTCTAGCTGTACTTGCTCTTTCCTTTTTATCATCAAAATGCTTAAGATTCATCTTGGTAAGCATTTTTTCTCCAACAAACATCTAAGGTACAAAGGTTTTGCACAAGTCATCAGGAATAGTTATCTTTAAAAATATAAAGATTCGAGAGATGAGTGCACCATAAGGAAGTTGTCCCTTGTCCTTGTGGAGAGTTCTGTGCATGTGAAAAATGATGATGTGTGGAAGAGAGAAAGACTTTCCATTCAGAATGGCCCAAATAAGCTTGATTTCAGACTTGGACAAGTTAGTTTTGGAAGCAGCTTTAGGCCTCAAGCAATTGATAATGATCTTATGCAAGATCACAGTTCTTCTAGTCAGATCAGAATATGAAATATGGCGTTTAGAGCCTTTATCAAAATTATGATTCTTTGAAGCCGCTTTGGAAGCATCTTCTAGGCTCACTTCCAATGGTGTAAACTTGTAATTTTTCGCTCCAATAATCAGAGCCAGATCTTCCACTTTCAAATCATACTTTTTATCACCAACAGTGAATTGAAGCCAATTTGGTGACAGAATGGAAAGATTTGAGTAAAAATAAGCAGTCAGTTCTGCATATACATGTGCAGATTGCAGACAGAATTCGTAAATGTCCAATTTTTCAAACAGATGTTTCACAGAAATGCCAGCCTTTTCAAGATATTCAAAATCCACACTTTGATTATTCATGATTCCTCTAGCAAGTAGCAACTGATAGTAGACATTGTGCTCTGTACTTCTAAATAAACCTCCATTACCTTGCACACCAGATGCAATTCCAACATTCATCTCAAAATTATGAAAAAATCTAGCATCATCATCAGGAATCGTAAATTTAGATGCACTGATAGACTTAGGGCTTATGCGAACGGATTTCTTGTCAGAGGGAGTGGATGGTTCCCCGACTTTCTCTTTTCCCTTTCTGGAAGAAGTCTCCTTTGGAGTAGTACTAGCCTGATCATGATCAGTTCTAGAGGAAAATTGAGAATAACTTCGCACAAGACTTTCTTCAGTGTGAAAGCCGTTATCTTTCGGACATTGATGAAGAACCGATGCAGAAATTTGAGAAGCTTTACTGCGTTTCAACCTTT